CCTGGCAAAAATCCATTTCTCCGGCAAACCATGTTTTTTAAGCTCCTCTTCAACTTCTCGTTGCCAAAAAACGTTTTGCCATTGAAATTGCAGATAATTCGCCGGGCAAAATTACTATTAGTTGAAATTAATATTTATTTTTAAAAAATATGAAGTATTATGCCATTAAACAAAAATGACAATGCTTGCATGCACAGCGCAACTTGTTCTATCGAATTGAGCTTGCATAAGTGTGCTTGCATACAGCACGAACCAATATTATCAGCAACATGTTCTTCATTTTCTGGCACATCATCTATGAAAATAGGCAGTCATTATAATTTTACAATATTAAAATTTGTAATTACAATATTAAACTTTATGTCGTATTACCTTGGCGAGCGATTTTTTTAAATGACACATATACTGTTGTATTTCATATTGAAATACGTGATTGCTAAAATGAAAGGATGAATTCTCAATGAATTAAAGATTATTAAAAAAGTTTATGCTTTTACCAGTATGTGTTCATTGAAGTTAACTTATAGCTACATGTACATTCACTAGCAACCTTAAACTGATTTCATGCATAACAATTGTTTTCAACTCAGCTATCCAAGACAGCTCACTACATAATTTAAAAATGCGTAACACAAAATATTCAGCTTACTCGTACTTAAGTTATTGCACAATATAAATCCAAACTAAGAAAAATCAATTTGCAATATACTAAACGCATTTTCTAAACGCATTTTTTTTTTCGCAAACTTCCTATAGATATGTTAGCAGTAATGCATCCTAAATGCTGTCAAAGCGTTTCATCATGCACCTTTCGTTATTTAGCGTAAGCTGGGTATTTTAATGTTTTAATACTCGCTTATTCTATAAAGTGAAGAAAGAGACCATGATTTTAAATATAATGTCCAAGTTTTACCTTAACGGAGGGGAACCACTTGTAAAGCGTTAAATCTGCGTATGTCATATTGCTGACTTCTATGTGCTCAAATTTTAACGCAGCTGGATAAAAATGACGCCCATTTTCATTCCAAAAGTTACAAATTCCATAAACTCTTGCACAAAGTCGACATTCCAACGTTACTTTCTAGCATGGAATTGGACCTTTCACTGTGAAAGGGATAGAATTGGAAGGATAGTTCCGCATGGTTGCGTCAAAAACTTCAGAAAGCTCATCTTTTCGGCCTTTGATAAGTTCCACATATTCTTTTTCGGTTGATGCTGAAGGAATAATGGGCAAAACGTTTCTAAGATATTGACATACATACATCACGAGATCGTCCATAGTCGTTTTTACGTCCATCGTTCAATATTTTGTTGATATAAGAGGACGACGCGCGGTAAGTTGTTTGGTACGTGAAGAATTGTCTCTTTTATTAGCAATAATCCCGCAAAAGACAACTTATACACGCTAAAATTTGGAGAAATTCTTCTTCCTGGAGGACACATGTTGTGTCATTGTTTTCTACCATGGTTTTTAAATCAAAATTTTGTATGGCTTTAAGATTTGCACGGACAGAAGAAATCTGTTTCTCGTCCGCCAATATTTTTGCTTTTACATTATCCAAAGCCACATGGAGAAAGTCTGAACACCGCTTTTTACTTTCATGTTTTCAGACATTGTTGTAAAACGAAGATGTCAAATCACATTTGTGTTACTACTAAAGAATCTTCACTCGTGTTACCTGATAAGATGGTACACTTCATTGAAGTGTCACTGAGACGAAAATCGATTCTCAAATTTTGAGAAATTTGTTTTTCAGTAGATTTAAATAAACATAAAAAAATTCTATAACAAATTTTGAGTTGATCAAAAACAACAGCTTGAGAGAGATCAGCTTAAACTGATAAAATTTGCGTTAACCATTTATATTTTTATACGATATAGTTGTGTGCATTGTGTGGTAGTTGAGAGTGTTGTGACGTCTTTTTCTTAACACAAAGTGCACTTAATATAAATTACACCCAAGCTCTCGTTGATTGGGTCATTATACATATCCTCGAATATTCAGAGGAAAGCAAATTTAGATGAGTCATTCTTTGCTGGGAATATCCTACCTAGCAAATTCAATAGAGTTTGACTACGAAATTGTAAGTTGAGCATGTTTCTCAAATAGTCATTCAACTCATTTCAGTCGTTTCACGCAAGCTGATAGTACTGAAGTCTAATCCAAAAAACTCAAACGACTCAAGTCACTTAACTGAGGCGACTTAAATGGCTTGGACGACTTTTACGAGCAAATAACTGCCCAGTTGAGTTCAAAATAGATCTTTTCTTTAGAGTATCGTATGTTGCCTATTACAGACCTCATATTTATTACACACTTTCCGCTTGATAAACATGTTTCGCTATATTAAATAGTGTGAAATAATCATGCCATGAAATATTCTTTGGTTACGCTGGGCACTCGTTCCAGAGGTGAAAACAGAGCCCGGTCTCGAGAGAGTTGGGACCACTAGTTGGGACACGTATTGTTCTTTACATTCTGAATGATGATTGGGTAAATGCGGTCACGTGGTCCTTTCGCCGCTATTTTTGTTCCAAGAGCGCAATAGAAAACTATAGTTTACAAAGAATTAAATTGCAAAAAGTTTGGTTTTATGCTGTGTGTTTATTTTACCAATCGAAACAACGAAGGATATGAAGCCTACGCGGTCCCTGGTAATCAACACAGCAGTGAAGTGGCTCTGTGCAGTTAAGGAGAAACATTTCAATCCCACTCACTCTACCAGATTGCATTCCAGTAGCGTATGACAAAGTATTCAGCATGGACTTTTGATATTTTTATATATTTCTGATAAATATTGGTGTATCTATTCATAAATCCACGCAGAATGCATATAGACCACTCAGCTTTTCAAGCATCCCATATAATTTTGTTCTATTGTTATGTTCTACAAGCATATGAATAATCGGAAGATTAAAAATGTCACAAGGGATATGGGAGGTGGTACTCAGGCAGTTTTATAAGAGTTTGGTGTATCTTGCAAACTTTTAAAAAAATGTGAAAAGTTGCTGTTATCCAATATATGCCCCCATTCTGTTGTTGAAATCTAATTCTAGCCAGATGTTCCACTCTTGTTGAAGAATTGTTAACTCGAGAATAGGTTGCCCAACATATTATGTGGTTTGTGATGACAACCTGTCCAGGGATGTTGTTACAATGTGAAATGTACAAAGAGCTGGTAGATAATGATGCAATTCATGACCTGAAAATAAAACAACACTTGGACTATAAAGTAATAGAAATCCAGAGTGGATTTTAACAAAATAAAAGAAAGTTTAGCAAAGTATTTTTCATGATCACTAGGTAATTTTTCTGATGATCATTATGATTTCTAAACTAAGTTATTTCAGATTTACATTTAAACAAGCTTTGATCATATGAAATGATATTTATCATAACCAGTAAGCATGACACATGAACCAATTTTAACATTCATGTAATTATATGATTAAAGGCATGTTGGTTACATTCTGTTTGTATAGGCAAATACAATGCTACTGGTGATTACTATATAGCACACCTTGCATATACTTACAGAAGATAATAGTCTAGTGAAATGCGTAATAAACATTAATGGCATTAAGCTGTCCTTAATTGCAAATTTTCACTCTGATAATTTTTGCTTAATTTTTGGCAGAAAAAATTTTTTAGTTTTTTCTTAAAAGGTGAATCTGCTGGCACTGTATGTGGACATGGGTAAAGGGTTACAATAAACTTGCATGGTTTGAAGTCTGAGCTTTTCTATATTTAATGAACTGTGCCTTGTAATACCAAATTTCTAACTTAACTCATTACATAGAGGTTTGAATGGGAGTCTCTAGGGGGGTCTATGCCTGACAACTTGATAGAAATTTTTAAATACAATATCTTTTTTGGAATAGCATTATTGTAAAATAAATTTTATGTTCCTAGACATGCTAATGAGCCATATATTTGGCATGATAATGAGCCTAAATATTTGGCAAAACATTCAAGATTGTTCACTTCAGTTTTTTTTGAAAAAAACGTAAGAACAATGTGTTGTTTTTACGCAAAAACGATGCCCACAAAATACATTTTGTATTGCTCTAAAACGCTGAAAATGGCATTTCCAAGGCTCTGAAATTCAAAGTTTCTCAGGGGAGAATGCCTCGGACCCCCCAGGTGTCGACGACTGATGTTTGAAAAATCCTAGATCCGCCCCTGCAGGTTTGACAATTCAAATGTTTACAGGAAAATGTTGGTCTAGTTTTATACGTTATTACGCAATTACAAAGGTAGCGAAAAAATTATTCGCCCAGTTGAATGTTTACGTTTGCCTAACTTTACAATATTCAATTTTCCTTTGGGAGTGGAGAGGGGGTGAAATGACAACTGCCTCACCTTCACTCACGCAAATTCTGTACGCTTATGACTTGTTGCTATGAATATTTTATTGTTATTGTTATATATATTTATTTGCCATGTAAATAGATCTTGGCAAGCTTTACATACTGAATTAAAATCAAAATACCTTGGTGACTAAGAAGTTCGACTGTCAAAGAAATTGAAATTTTCTGTTCGACTAATAACATATTCTTAAATATGCGAAAAACGAGTCAAATAATTGTCAAACCTTGAAACAGATGATTGTTTTGCAATTTGTGGAAAAATGTTATACGTCAAAATAACGATCAGGCCTTTACTGAGAGATGAGCCAGGGACACTTTTGTTCTAACACAGTTCGTGAGGTAACCGGTAAGGAATATCATGCACGCAAAAATATTTTGCTTTGTTTCAGCCTCGTTTGCAAATGTACAATGCTTAGGAAATCAAAAATTCTGTTGAATTTTAATCTTCGGGAAATGGCAATGCTTATTTTTCGTAGAATCTTTTTTCATCTTTTATTTCATCTACGGTGTGCAGTATTTGGGCAATGGGGGTTCAGGAAGTACTTTTACGGTGGCTGATTTCAGATGGAGGTCTGTTGTTTTTAATACAATATGTTATAGAATATTCATGAATGCTAAATACCACACTTCGCAACGTAATACGGCGTTGTATCAAATCATGTCGATGTCTTCATTGGGATTTAAGCTTTAGCTGTATCAATTCAGCCTTACTGCTCGTGTGGACATGAGGTAGTTATGTGTAAGTTATGTCACTAAATTATAAAATAAAATTCATTTCATTGTTTGAAAGAGCAAATCTTGAACATTCCATCTTCGAGACAGACGCGGCAAGTCATAAGTGTCGATACATGACTGTTCGCAAAATATTTAACTGAATAGAGTGATGCACTTGTGTAAATAAAATGTATTTAGTAATCTACTTTAGTCAAGGGGTTTGAATGAAGATCTCACAACGATGATATCACATGATCCTTCCAGTACATCAGTCTGGTACACAGTATATGTGACGTACACACTAATAAGTGACTTACACAACTCACTAAATGAATCGTCAAGATGATGTAAACACAATTTGACGTATATATGGACATGAGGTGATTACAACTTTTTATAGACAGATGAATATCGCTTGAACTAATGACAAACCATACTGAAGCATTTCACTTATAATGATACAGTCACTACTCAGCAGAACCGGTCAAAATGATAATATCATTTTAGGAAATTTGCGTTAACCCTGATTTGAATTGCCATCACCAACTACTCTGTTTGTATTAATTAAGCGATATTTATACTAAGGCCCTGTTCACACAATACCGGATTGGTTAGATACCGGATTACTTTTCGTACCGGATAGGCCTTGCGTTCATACGGCTCCGCTAAAATCCGATACGCTTTATATCGTTTTTCCGGAGCGATTTGACTCCGCAGTGGAAGTGGTATAAAAGCCAATCCGATACGTTCCGTTGTCGTGTGAACGCTCGAATCCGATACGTTCCACTTTGGCAACTAAGAAGTTCGTGCGATTTTTCAAAAATGAAAGCAAACATAGCGATACAAACTATGTTTTAAATGAATAATCCACCAGCAAATATAATATATCTTCAACATGGCATGTTTAAGCTTTTAACAATGTATTATCGCAGTGTGAAAAGCTTCTTTCTAGTATTATTGTAATTGCAACATATATTCGGTCGTATTTGGACTTTACACTCTTCCAGTCCTTGCGCCCATTCGTAAAAAACCTTAATACGCCTAAGAAAAAACTCTACTTAGTTATCTGTCAAAAAAAATTCTCATTTTCTTACGAAATATTTGAATTAGCAACCATCGTCGTTATCGCTTGCACGCACAAGTGGGGCGATATAAAAACTTATGTATCGTCTTACGAATCCGGCATCGTGTGAACAGAGTGCATTTTTCGTATCGGATTGCTCAGCGAATCCGGTATCGCGTGAACAGGGCCTAAATAGACATGCATGGCTACGAGTTTCAATATGTTCTCTGCTTTTGGAGTAAAATCACCTGAATTATGTGATAACGTCGTTAATCGATCTTATTTACTAGTGCTAGGCCGAGATACTAAAATACTAGACGTATGAACGGTTGATTCGTTTTACATTATCCAAATGACAAACTGCACAACACATCATAAAAAGCCTACTAAAGTCGTCTACACGTATTTTTCGTCCTGAGCTTAAAAATAGCGCAATTACGTCCTGTTCCAGTCATTAGAGAGTTTTAGCAGAGCCTACGAGTACGACTGCGAGTACGATTACGTCATTTTGGCGCGAAAACATTGTTGCGACAACAAAAACACGTAGCCGTCATCAATCTGAGTACGATGTTTTGTAAAAAATTCGTAGTCGCGACTACGATGTCTGTTTAAGCAAAGAAAGTAGGTATATTTCTTCATTCTGTAAGAAATTAGTTTACAGTACTATTTTCGAGCAACCAGGCTTTAATTTAGAACCCTTTTTGAGCGCAGATGTACATTAAAAAGGAAAATATGCCCTGCAAAACTTTCATGTATTTCGTACGCAAAGTGAAAGGTAAACAAACAATAAAATAGTACAAATATATGTTGCATAAAAATTAAAATAGTGAAGATTTTTCAGTCTAAAGAGTCCTATATTCTCGCAAAACCAGTATTATCGATTCTTTGATATCATTATTGACAAATAGAGCCGTAGCTGCTTCGCAAACGTCGGTGTTTTACACATTAAAAAGGCTCGTTCTGTTGTTTACAACTAAAGCAAAATTTTGACGAAGCGATAACGACAACAACCTTCCTCGTGCCATTCCCTTACACGGTCAAATTTCGTACTCGTTCTCGTAGTCGTACTCTTGCTAAAACTCCCTATTTGGAAATTATAAGTTGTAAACTACATTAATTCTTCGGTATATACGGCTGCATATAAACTAAAGGTAGTAAAACAGAGACTTTGTCTTGGTATAAAATTTAAATACCATGATGATTGGTATTACGTTAGTAATTAAGTTTTACGTTAGTATTTGGCAATTCACCACGCTATTTGTTCTTTTTAAGACAATTTTTAGTGGCATTGTCAGAGCAGAATAATTATTAACGAACTAACGCATTCCTTGCCAAATCAAAGTTAGTCACGTATGTGTTAGGAGTTGCATAAGCAGTTAAATTGCAAACATCGTCTCACATTCAACTTGTACTACGTCTTTAGTTCAAGAAAAGATTACTTGGAGCCTAAAAGTCTATTGTGCTCAAGACATCAAAAGCTATTCATTCACATATTGCCAACACTGTTAATTTGGCAGTTGGTGTAGGTGGTGATCTAATTACGACACATGAAACTTCACGAATCATGAATATACTAAATTTATATACACGACGACTTTTTTTAGAATAGACATGTTTCGACATCTCATGATGCCATCTTCAGTATGAGTGAGATAATAAATGATACAAGGTTTATATACAATTAATATGATACAGAAATTACAACAATAAAAAGGAAATAAGATAAATTAATGAAGAGCGTCCGAGCGTATTATAAACTAAATATTGTATTGAATTTAAAAACTTGAACATTGAAGTCAGGGTTAGTTTTGTTAATGTGGAGTGCTTCTTTGATTTTAAGAGAGAATGAGGTGTCGGCAGTGTCGATGATTTTGAAGCAAGAGGGTGAATAGTTGGTTTTACATGAGTGAGATTTAAGGTGTCGGTAGCTATGAGAGTTTTTGTCTGTTGTGGTATGTTCCCTAATTCTGGTGGATAAATGGCGCGAAGTTTCGCCAATGCATCGGGAATTACATCCCGCGCAATTTAATTCATATACCACCATAGATTTAATTGAATCAGGGATTGGGTCTTGGAATGAGAAAAGGTTTTTGATTTTGAATGATGTGAAAATTAGTCGAATGTCAACACCTGTACAGAAGCGTTTCATAATGTTTTTAAGTCTACGTTGTGTGTGTCGTGAGTAATGTCCGATGTATGGTAATTTGAAGTATAGACTTGTTATTTTGGAATTTTCATTTGTGTTGGTCGTGATCGTCGTGTCAGGAGTTTCGGTGTCTAGTTTGAGGTTGTTGCTTTGTTTGTTGTCGAGATATCGTTTTACGGTTCTGTTAATAAAGTATAGTGGAAAAGAGTTTCGTAAAAGAGTGGATGTGATGTTTTTTATGTCTCGTTGAAAGCCATTGTTCGTATTGTTAAGTTTGTATGCTCTGTCGATTATTGTGCGTATAAGTCCTGTTTTGTATAAAAGTGGTGTGAAACTAAAATAGTTCGTCAGAAGTCCTGTGTATGTTGGTTTGTGATATGTAGATGTTATACAGCTGTCATTGGATTTTGTTAGTAAAATGTCAAGAAATGGCAGTTGATGTTGCTGTTCAGTTTCAATGAAAATCTAATGTTTGCGAGCTGTGTGTTAATGTAATTATAAAACTTCGTGGCCTCAGTTTCGTTAGTAAAAACACAAAAAATATCGTCAACGTATCTGCGGTAAAATAGTGGTTTAGTGTCGTAGTTGTTTAGCCAGTTTCGTTTATGTGAGCCCATGAAAACGTTAGCAAGTGGGGTGCTAATGGAGAGCCAATCGCAACACCGTCCGTCTGGTCATAAAATTTTCCATTAAATAAAAAATGCGTCTGTGCTGTTGCTATTAAAAACAGTTGTGTGAGGTCTGTCCTGTTTATACTGAACCTGGGGTTGTGAGTGAATATTAGGTCAATTGCTATGTTAATGGTTTCAGTAAGTGGTATGTTAGTAAATAGGCTTTCAACGTAGTAGGAGATGAAGAATTTGTGACAAGAAGTTGATGAGTTGAAAGATGAGAAGTCGTCGAGGAAAGTGAAGGAATCTTTAGTGGAGTGGTCATCTGGTATGAGTGGTGTTAGTAGAGAACTAAGATACTTAGCTAAGTTATAATTGTATGCGTTGATTGATGAAACTATCGGTCGTAGTGGAGGCGATTGTTCTGGTTCTCGTTTCTTGTGAAGTTTCGGTAAGCCATAGAAGCGTGAGGGCTGAGAACCTCTGGTTGAAAACTTCATGGCCTCAGTTTCGTTAGTAAAAACACAAAAAATATCGTCAACGTATATGGCCATGAAGTTTTATAATCACATTAACACACAGCACGCAAATATTAGATTTTCATTTGAAACTGAACAGCAACATCAACTGCCATTTCTTGACATTTTACTAACAAAATCCCATGACGGCTGTACAACATCTACATATCACAAACCAACATACACAGGACTTCTGACGAACTATTTTAGTTTCACACCACTTTCATACAAAACAGGACTTATACGCACAATGATTGACAAAGCATACAAACTTAACAATACGAACAATGGCTTTCAACGAGACATAAAAAACATCACATCCACTCTTTTACGAAACTCTTTTCCACTACACTTTATTAACAGAACCGTAAAACGATATCTCGACAACAAACGAAGCAACAACCTCAAACTAGACACCGAAACTCCTGATAAGACGATCACGACCAACACAAATGAAAATTCCAAAATAACAAGTCTATACTTACTCACGACACACACATTACTCACGACACACACAACGCAGACTTAAAAACATTATGAAACGCTTCTGTACAGGTATTGACATTCGACTAATTTTCACACATTCAAAATCAAAAACCTTTTCTCATTCAAAGACCCAATCTACTATTTTCTGTAGAAATCAATTGTGTGTAGGGATTATAACATATAGATATGAGCCCCAATTATCAATCTTCTGGCCTCCGCTAAGAAACAGTATAATAATAGGTTTTTTGAATGTAGCAATGGAATTGGAAAAAAGCATTCCACTCATAGAAATGAAGAACATGAACGGCGAAGAAAAATCGTCAGTTGTGATTACTCGTTCGAAGGCAAAAAGCTCTATTACTTTGAATCCATTGATTCGGTATGTCACAATCAGACTTTCGTCTTAAATATCATGTGTAAAACTTAATAAATTTCACACTCAAATATGTGAATTGCGATATCAAAAATACTAACTCTCAAAACACATTCTGAAAAAATATTATTTAATTATTAGAAATAAAGACTTCAAAATATTGATCTCATTATCTGATATTTATAGAGCAGTTCGAAGGGGCATCTATATGACAGAGCAATATATTGCTCATATAAAGGTGATTGAAAACCTCAAAATAACCGACAGTGATCACCATGGCAAAAATATATTCCATCTCAGTGCTCGAAAGGCAGAGCTTTTAGAATTTCTTTTAAAAAAATTTGAGAAGGTATATGTATTTTACTTTTTACACAGGGAATGTTGCGTCTGTCTAGCTGGATTGATCGATGTTTTTCTCATCTATTTTCATTTGCTTCGATGAAGTTATTATTACTTACATATACATATATGAGATTTGTTGCCCATATTTAAGTTGGTCACATCTGGACGTTATTCAAAACTCTGGTGTAAAAGGGAGAAAATAACCTTAGCAAAGCGTCATTATCGTCCAGGCCTCACGATCCAAATCCTTTCCATTTCCAACAAAGATACATTCATTATTCTCAAATTAAAAACCTAGATTGTATTTTTTAATCATGAAAATGCATGGCCAGAAACTGAAAATGTTAAACACAAGTTGCATTGTTGCTGACAATGGTTCATTAAGCTATGTTAAAAACACATATTAATCGAGGCTTCTTTACCAGCTTTGATGCGTAAAAAGTTATTGATGCGATAGTCCGAAAACTCCGAATAAAACTTGATCTTACTCTTTTTTCGCGTTGTTTTTTTCATAGCATAAACAACTTAAAGAAGCTCTTCGTCGTGAAGATATAGATGGACACACTCCTGCGCATATCGCTGTGTTGCATAATCAAAGAAAGGTAGTTCACCTTTCGTTTGTCTTTTCGTCAAGGTCTGCTCGCATCCAAAGTTCCATATGGCTACATAAATTTTTGGCTTTTCAGATGTTTTTGAATACAGTTAGCTAAAAACGGCCATAATGGCCATTTCTAGTGCTATAATTTTACAAAAGCATTTTCTTTTACTTCTTTTGCAATGAGTGTTTAAGGAATTTGGGGTATTGCAAGCTTGCACGTACATTTACAAAACGAGGCTATTGCTTGCATTAAATTAACCTTTATACATGATATTTTGTTGCTATTGCGAGCTTTTTAGTTTAACCTTTTAAAAGGTGAATAACTCCTCTGAATTTTCTGTAAGATACACAACATGTGCATTTTCTGATGTAAGAATGAGCTGTTGAGGTTTTTTACGAAAACATCCAATGAATTATGTTAAAATATAATATAAAACGAAGCAAACTTCGAATATAGATAACATCTATATAGCTCAATATTTGAGGTAAGAAAGGAGACAATAATATAGCAATATCTATTATAGTCTGGTGAGAATTTACTGTCTGATATTAAAGTCTGATGATGATGAGACATTATCTGAGCTCAATCAATTAAATCAAACAAAGAGAATTTGCAAATCAATCATGAATACATGTTAAGAAAAATCCAAACATTTGTTTCAATCTTATCTGTTTTCTCTTATTTTTATTTTCATAACACGAACAAATAAGGGGTTATATTTTATATTTTAAAAGTTTTAAGTAGCTTCAGTCAATCTTAACAAAAGCGTGCAGTTATAATTGAAAGGCATCATACATAGTTTTATCATTAGTTTCCCTGTTGAAGTGTGTATATCTATTGATTTTGTTATGTGGTTTATAAGTGCCTGCTAGAATTTTTGGGTTTTTTTTAAAAAATTAAATATTTTTTCTGCAGAGCATACAAATTCTGGCTCGTGTAGAACAGAATATATACACGCTTCGTAGTTCAAAGAATGGACGAACACTAATGCACTATGCAGTGGATTCGTGCAATCTCTATATTGTACAAGATATTCTACTTGCTCGACCAGAGTCCCTCTTTGACATAGACAACGATGGGAAATCACCTCAGCATTACGCTGCAGCTCTACCCGAATGCATTCTCTTGGACATTTTCCTCGCACACGGTGCAAACATTTTGGATATGTGAGTGAAATGTTTACATATTTGTGTTTGAAAAGAAATATATTTTATAAAAACATCACCATTTAAAAAAGCATATTATAATAACAAAGCATGTTATTTCTTGCTCCATTCGTTATTTCTAGCATATCAAAGGTTTAACTTGTATGATAAGATATTCACAAATTAAGTTGGATATTCGTTGATAAACATTTCAAATCGGCATTAATAAAATTGTTAATCCATTTTTACTAATGAAATGTAAGGAATAAATTAAAGAAAATTTATTCATAAAAACGTCTTTTGTGAAACTTGAAGTAAACCTTAAAGCATAAAAGCAAGTGTTTCTCTCAAATTAAAACTCTTATGAAGAAATACGTGAATTTAAAATACGTGGTGGTGCCAATTAGCATCATAATTATATTTATATAAACTACGTACCTCCAAGTTATCCACGTGATTATTGTGACTCATGCACTTGGGCATATGAAGCATGGTTATATACATATAAACAATATAACATTGCAGAATTGGACGGTTACTTTGAAAGTGTGTGACGATAATGTCAGTTCCCTACTATTTTCATATTATTTGTATGTATATCTTGATTTCATATTTTTGTATAATTATAAATTTATAAAATAATTATACAACACAACGCTTGCATTGATTGGTCTATAGCTGAGTTTGCATTGGCCTTTGGAAACCGACCCAAGCTAAACTATTAAACCTCAATCAACTAAATCCATTAAAGTGAATTTACAAATCAATCATCGTTATAAATGTAATAGAAAAAACATTTATTTCAATTATATTGGTTTCGCATGATTGTTATTTTATATAAGAAATAAACACGTTTTTCGAAGTTACACTGCGTGGCCCTTTTCTATCGAGCTTTGGTCACTGGTTTGCTCCTATCTGCTTTCAGGTTGCTCTAAAACGTCTCCGTAATTTTTCTAAGCTTCGAAAAAAACAGTTATTAGCTGTTTCTCAAACATCAGTTTTTCATGCTTTGTAAATTCATTAGCTACAACAAAAAAATCCCTTATTGCCCATTCCTTAGCACTTCTTACAAAAAATAATCTTTTGTTTGCATGAGCAAGATGATTTCATGTACAACATTAACGATGTGTTCGTGTTCTGTTTAAATAACTGAGTGCTTGAGCAATTGAAACAGGAATTTTTTTGTTATGTTTAAGTGACGACAATGGTTCAACTCTGCTTCATACAGCCACTCAAGCTGGATCTATATCAAACGTCAAACGTCTGATTCACGATGAAATTACCCTGATAAGTGCAACTGACGCTGAAGGAAGGACACCTTTACACATAGCCTGTGCCAAAGGTTTTCGAAAAATTGTGTCTTTTCTGATAAAAAATGATGCTGATCCACTAATGAGAAAGACTGGTGGCGAAAACTGTCTGGACATCGCTGTCTTCCACCAGCAAGATCAAATTGTTGAAGAGTTGTTACTCAGCCCATACTGGAAAGATGTGAGAAACGTATATTTTTATTAAAAGATGGGGGGGGTTCTACCACTAAAATGAGGTTCTTGACGTGCATTTACAAACGTATGCAGCACATCAATGGCAAGTGACCACATCTTTTCGTTTAAATTTTCGTTAAAAACTATTGAAAAGATACATGTTAAATGATGGTATTTAAAAGCAAGATATATCAAGTCCTGAAATGCTTACGTTGCCAACAATTATTCAAGAAATCATTTTAAATAGTTTGCCAAAAAAAGTCACAAATTAACTGTAATATTAACCAATATTCTTTTGTCGGCCATTTCTTCTCCTCCACAATGTTGTATAACAAATAGGAAATAGCGCACGTGGAATTAACGGCATATTTTACTAAAGAAAAATGTATGTGTATGTTGTTGTATAGCTGACTTCCGAGTGGAAGAATGGGCCGAAAAAATGCTCTGCTTATCTTGTTGAAAAGATGCCTAATCAAGCCAAGGTATTATTGAACCGCTGTGTGGTGACAAGTGCCCACAAACCAATCTCACCCGACTACTGTGTAACTTATGATTTTTTTCTTCTGGATTCTGCAGGTAAGTAATATTTACTTATCTGAAGTTGATACTAATGCGGTTACTCTGAGGCTATTAACCTCAGGATTGGCGTAGGAGGATTTGATCATACATACATGTCATAGTCCTTTGAAAAGGATGGATTTCAAAAGAATGTGACACAAAATACTATGAATAAATGAATATGAGCCTCCTCCAATTAGCAATCATCCTAGGCTCACATGACTCCCAATTTTTTTTTGTAAATTATAACACAGAAGCATTTTTAATGAGTAAGTCTTATATATGTATTTGCTCTTCCATAAAGAAATGCGTGCACCTGTAAATACTTTCAAAAAATGCTTGTGATGCAGGAATAACAATTTCTGAAATAAGTATATAAAAAACGATAATAGTTTAACACTCTTTACTTGAATATATCTGCAGAAATAGGCTTCAAATGTGGATAGCGCTAATCAATAATAATGACTTGAATGGCGCGTGTTTGCAATAACTTTTTAGGTTCCAGCCCCCCTGCATTTGATGGACTTAAAGCAATCATCAAGAATAACGAAGAGCAGTGTTTGATCCATAAACTATGTAGGAAATATTTGAGCATTAAATGGCGTGAAGAAGGATGCCACATTTTCTTGATTGACCTACTCCTTTTTTTGTGTTTTCACATATCGTTTAACGTCTACGTTGCTTTGATTCGCGGTGCTTTGGCAGAGGGACGTTTGCATCCCCACGGTAATTAAAAGTACTGGACGAATGAATCCCAGATAATTAAACACAACACAAACTAAGCCTATATGGTAATTTCTTAAATGCCATGTAAATAAGAGAGTCCCTCTTATTGCTTTAACAAAGAGTCTGGAAACATTGATTGAACAATAACCAAAAATTAACAGAAATGAATTTTATAGAATTACAACACTTTTTGAGACATTTTTGAAATAAAGTATATTTGAAATCATGAGATAATAAGCACGACTGACCCCATTAGCCACGTGGCATTTAAGAAGTTATTTATAGTCTAAGTTGGGCTAAATTATCTGCAATTTATTCATTAAGAATGTATAATTATATATCTCGAGGTCGTGAAAATTTCCTTTCGGGCTGTGTTTAGAATGAGCAAAAAAATTTAGTTGTTGATCTTTTCTTGAAAAGTTGCTTCCTAAACAGTTTTTAACCCTTTAAGTGGCTTTTTTTAAGTTATGTTTCATCGAGCTTCGTGAGAGTTGCAAGTGATAATTCAAACGTTATTGCTACTAAAATCATTATTCAAACTTTTCACGCATCCAGGTGCATCCCTCGCTGCAAAATTTCTTAATATACCTTTTTGTGTGTGGTCTGCCTCGCGAGAATCAAGATTTACTAACTTGACGGTTGATATAGATGGCACGAGTAGTATTGCGTTATATTACATTACAAGAGAGCATATTTCTCCCATTTAAATTTCATTATGACTTGGTGATTGTTATAGATTTGCTATCATGCCACTTAAAGGGGAAGATCAAGTTTTTTGTTGTTACTTTAAGGACTGCATGCATGTGGAGTTTCCTGTAACCTAAGTTGAATATTGCAGACTTATAATTTTCCTAGAATGCTTTTCTTGACCTGGTCATAGAATAGAGAATACATAAAAGGGAGACTTGCGTCGGTAACCTCTGATGTTAGCGTGTCGCACAGTTTGCTTTGCGCATACCGGAGGTTTAACGGCCGCCATTACTCTGGGCAGTAAAGTTTAGAATATTTACTACGAAAATATACGAAATAGGAGCTGTAAAGTGGGTTAAAGTATAAAACTTGAGGACTAGTTGGATTTGCTTTGCATGCTGATGATTAGCTATTGCACAATTGCGATTAGCAAAACAATGGCGTAATGAATGCACATTCTTACAAACAGTGTTTTAGCATTTTTAGATGGTACGGCCCATAGGCGTTCGGGGCAGGGAGCAGGCGGAACCTTTATTGTGAATTGGGGAAAATATTTACTGCTCACTCCAGAAATAATAATGCATTCTTGAAAACTCGATTCCAAAGTTGAATATACTTTGATATACTTTAATTCTTCAACACTTCGAACAAATTTGATATACGCTTCATCCATCTGATATTTTTTCCTGTGGTCCTTCGAGCATTGAGGACATTTGTTGTAGCTATTTTTTTGCATTTCAGAAAAAGCCAGAAATTCAACAACGCCGCGAAGTAATTATCCAAAGCCTGTAGCTTACCCTCGCGATACTGGACCAGTTATTGCCTCTTCAATTATTCTTATTTTAACCTCATTCAACATTGTCAAAGAATTTGTACAGGTGTAATGATTATAATATTTTGTATTTGTTTCTTATTCCTGTTATTAAATGTCTGTTCATGTTATTTATGCGATAGGTGTGTAAATAAAGTTTGCTGCTTGCAATTAAACTTTTCGTTCTACTGCATTGACTGGAATTTTAAAGCTAGGTAAAATTTTGTCAAAATGGGATAAGAAAGAAATTTTAATTTTCGTGTCATTAACTGGATATTTATTGGAATAAGAATTCTGCTTATATTTTACCAAAATAAAGCAATAATATACAATGTTCATGCAGTTTCGTACCACTGCATGTTCTCGTTTCCACGAGGAAGAGCAATTTCTAACTGATATGCTTAGTAATTTATCAAGACTCTTTGTTGTTTTATAGATGTACAGTTATCGCTGGAAATATTTGAAGCAAATTTCAAACTACTTTGAATGGACTTTGTTTATGTGCGTTCTAAATTTCATGTTACCCATAAGAGAAACGAAGACCGAACGTCAGTTTGGTGCAGCAGCAATTGCAATCTGCATTTCTTGGTTTGACTTTATCTGGTTTCTACGAAGAGCTCCCGACGTTGGCACGTACATTTTGACTTTGCAGAAGACGGCAAAAACTGTATTGAAGGTTCGTGGTATAGGCACAATGATCTGAAATAAATAAAATATCCCGTCATTGGCATTCAATAAAATAATAAAAACGTTGATGACTGATGAGTAAAAAATTGATGTTTTTCATTTTGTCTTTATTTAAATATAAACTCTTCTTCCATTTGATTTTCCTATAGTCTTGCTCCCGTAGAATCAACGTTATTATCATCATTTTTACATGGTTATTCAATGCCAGTGTCATGTATGTTTTATCATCATGTATTTTTTCATGTATGCTCATGCGTACTTGTGACAGTGAACTTGATTTTGACCTTAAATCCTTTAAGAGTTTATGACACGAAATCTTATCTCAAATTTTTCCCATAAATTTTATCGTTTGCATTCGAAAGAACACATGACATGATTCAATAGTAGAATTGACTTAGTGTACTTTTTTCTAGAGACATTCTATTTTTTTCTTTATAAAAAGGACATTGCAATGACATCATCTTTGAATATATTCATCAGCACAAATACTCATTTAACTGTTGTGTTTGTGCATAATAAAATTTTTAAGAGCATCACTTTTACATCGTTGGAACGTTTCATAAACAAATACAACAGTTAAATGAATATTTGTGGTGATGAATATTTTCCAAGATGCAGAAGTTAAGCAATGTGATGTCATAACAATCCATTAAAGAATTTAGGCTGTCATTTTTCATTGCCGTTATTGTGCAATCAAAAAACATTACGGCAAAATTTGGTGTTAAAAAAACGTTAACAATTTCTAACAAATAAATCGTTGCTAATACTTGAAATACCCGCACACACGACATAATTGGCCAACAAAGGAGAGGCATCATTGGAGTTTTCATTGCTATATTTTGTAAAGAAAGAATCGACTTTTTTCACTTTTTGCTTTAGAGGACGTCAGTAGAATGGAGAGCTTAGCTTTTTGTTAACAAGGCTCCGGTTTACGCTTAATCCCTAACTAAATATTTTTTGCTAACATTTCTCTACGTTGTACTTGTAATTGCAATCCTTTATTGCAGATGGTTACTTTAATTTCGTTGTTCTGCATGGCATATGCATCGACATTTTACATCCTACTGGCTGAAGAACCGAGGTTTGAGAATTTCCCAGTAGCTATTCTGAGTACATTTGTTTCGATGCGTGGTGACTTCAGTTATGACACTATATTCCTGGGAAAAGGTCGCTACGAGTTTTATTCTCTGAAACTGTTCATATTCGTGTTTTTCTTATTGTTGATGGCAATTGTAATAAATAACGTGTTGATTGGCTTAGCTGTTGGAGATACCCAGTATGTGATGAAAATGGCCAAAGAAAAAAGACTTAAGCAACAGGTAAGTTTGTTGTTCTTGATGAAGAAAATTGCTTCTATAGGTTATAGGTATGATGAGAAATCAAAAAAGAAGAAAAGGTTCATTTATATTAATAAACCACTATTTTTGATTCATTGTTTGATTTGTGTCCAAACTATTTTCTCATTCCAATTTCAATTTTTGTCTAATAGCCGTTACAAGTAAACTCGCAATCATTTACAGCCTTACAAATAATACAAATTAAACTGTTTTCTTGTAGATCTTTTTTATCAATTGCCATGTATTTTCTTTAAAATTATTATGTTATTTACATGGGCAAAATTTTTAATCATTGAAAAGGTCAGTCTCCAAAAATCGAAGTTAAAAAATTTGAGAGCCATGAATGCTTAAAAGATTCAATCTTAAAAGATCAATTCAAGTCTGACTTTTTAATTTATCAAAATTTGCCGCAAGTATCAAAACTAATTTTGCAAGAAAATTCAATTTACATTGCAGATTGGTTTGGTATAGACGGTTTAGACGTTTATAAAAGTTTTTGAGATTGTCTCGCGCAGCATTTTACTTTGAACAAACATTTTATACTTTCACTATTGATAATGTCTCTTACAATTTGGATAAATGATTTAGTTGGTTTATTTACGATATCGTCTATTTTTGCAAATTTGCGAGTTTAAGTCTCTTGAACTTCATTGAACTACACAAAATTAGAGGAACTGTAGACACAGAAACTCCGAACTGATACACAATATTTCGCTCTATAAACAGAGCTTTGGGAATATTTGTCGTCTTCTTACAATGTTTTAGTAAAAAGGAATGTTAAGAGGCTCATTTCATCCATTTCATTGAAATTAATAAACAATTATTTCAACATTGTCTTTCCAAATTTCTTGAGCACTCGAGGGTAAACATTGGCTTATATAACTTAGGTTCTCAACTTATTCTCTCAAGTGTTTCATTAATGCATGCTCTAAATAGGGTACCAGTGGGCATATGATAAATCGCGGACTGGACTAGTAAAAAGCGGACTATACTCGATTAGTAAAATGCGTATTGGACTCCAAAAGTAAAACCATTCGCTTATAAACTACGCCGGCCTTTCCAGACCACAAGTTTGATCTGTTTTGTAAATATGAGGACTTTGGAATATTTATTTACATTCAGATTTCAGAATTTTTATTATCACTTGTATTACTGTTTATATATTTGATGAGTTTTAGTGAGTCCGTGTAGAGGTTCTACTCTTGTAAATTATGTCGATGCAACGTATAGCAATCATAAATAAAAAATATACAATCTGCACTATCTCTTCGCTCTAAATTGTGAAACCGGAAACATGTTGAACTTACTTAATAATAACACCCAAACTGAATTAATAAGCCCTTAACAACTGAGCTTGAGATCTTTACTGAGAATTATCGGACCTCTGTCTTTTTGTACAAACCTCGCGCTACGGGCTTGGTCTGTACAAAAGGACCTTGGTCCGATATTTCTCAGTAAAGACCGAGAAAGCAAGGTTATTAAAAGTTTATTATATGGCATTATTTCACCTGAAATAAAGCTTGATTTCTTTCCTGTCTTTACTGCTTTGTAAGGGTTAACTTTCACTTTCTAGTTTTCATCAGTCGAAAATAAATTATATTGTCTGGATAGTTAAACTGATAGAGTGTTTCCGAGTGTTTTTCCTTCGACTCAGATTCGTAAATGGTTTTTTGTTCTTTTTTTTTGCGTTTTGCTGTTTGCTTTACGAAGTTTGTTAACATTTCACTGTAAAATTACGCGTTTTGGACCATTGTCGATTACGGAAAATAATGGACGGGCAAGAATGTTTCTGAGTCAATCAAAGCGCACCATTTTTCCGGAAGTGACGCTTGATAATAAGTTATAATATTTTCCCGCCAGTCTAAACAACTTTGCCTTCGACAACAACATGTCAACAGCCACTGCTAGTTTTCAAAGGAATTTTTGTTTCATAAATTTCATGATCATTGTAATTTGATCATTTTTATTTCATAAATTTCATCTGCATACAACAGCATTTCCTTTTCATATGGATGAATTCTGAAAAGACCCTTTACTCGTCTTCTCCAGTCATCCGTGCTTTCATTGAAGTAGCTAAATCCTCCTTTGCAAAAAATCTTCGAGGCATAACATGCATTGCTTAACATTTTTAAACAACATAAAAAAGGTGCCAAACCTGTCAATCACAGATTATATGTTTTTTACAATAGACTTGCGTTTCCAGAATTTCCCCAGGTTCGAAAATGATTGTTTGAACTTCCAAAATTTGAATCAGTGAATAGAGACTGAATTATTTTCCAATAACGTACTTCCTGGCTTTACAAAGTTGCAGATTACATGGGACTTTTATATGTGATAAACTTATATTTTGCCTAATTGAAAATGAAAGTGCAAATATTTCGATTGTAAATGGCCTGTTATTGCAAGAACAAAACTTGTTGTGCACCCGCTCACAATACTGCAAGTTAGACACCATGAGCTTTTTGTATAAAAACTATCATATTTTTTTAAACCAACTTGGGACATATGTTATGCCCATATTTGAATCTATAAAGTTTTTTTAAAACATGCATTGCAGAAAATATGAAGAAGTGTCGCACCTTTTGCTTCAGCTTATCCTGGTTCTTCCTTTTTACTCCAAAACTTTGTATTATTGTTCTTTCATGAATACGCTGTCTTTGCCTTTTACGACTTCTCTAATGTATAAAAGAAGTCAAATTTCAGTAAAATTACCAAAAAAGGTTTTTATAGAGTCCCTACCTAAACAATCTTTTAACTTAAACTTGTACATACTAAGTCAATCAATGTTCTCTTATATTCAGTACAGCTAGATATGTTTAAATGATCATTCGGTGCAATTACCTTCGTTTCATGACTTCCACAAAATCAAGCCAAAAACCATTGGATACTTCCAAGTCTATTAATGGACTTGTTGTCAATGATAAATTGAGAAGTGTTTTCCTCTCAATAGACACAAACGACTGTTGAAAGAGGTCTTAATGCTAGTCGCAAAGATATATAAAATCCAAGCGAAAAAATTGATCGCTATTTATATGTAATTGAATAATTATTAATTGCAATGTTTTACTTTTTAGACAGAGAAACTAGTTACTTTGTTTAGAAAAAGGCCTTTAAATTTTATTTTTTTGCATGATTTCACTTATAGGTATGTTTTCAGCATATTACATGCAGTTTCCCCTATATTTACAGATAAAATTTCTAATGGCAGTTGAATCATCGCTTTTCGCTCGATTGCCATACATTCGTCGAAGAAAATATTTAAGTGTGTACACAGAATATCCCAATCAAAAAAAGTCTTTCACAGATAAAGTCAAACGATTTTTGGCGGGAGAAATGAACTTGTTCCACGATGAAGATGACATTGATGAGGATGATGAGCCCAACGTGCTTACTCGTCAGCAGGTGGATGAGATTTTAAAAGTCAGGCTTAAGGAACATCATAAAAAAATACTGAACAAAATGATTGATTTTAACTCGGAAATTCTGGAAAAATTGGAAAAGATAGTTAATGTCAAAAAAGGCATTTAGGTTTTTGAAGAGAAACTACTATATTAGCTAATCTGAAAGCAAATAGCGAATTTTCTAAACGTTTTAAAGGCAGTTTTAATTCACTGTGTTACGAACGTCTCGACTAATAATAAAATAGCCGCTTTTGGTTCAATTGCTCGTAACAAAAGGAGTAAAACCTTGTGGAGAAGTTGTTGTCAATTCTTAAGATATTTATTTAATATAGTAATAATTTTGATATAATCGTTATAATATAAATGTTTAAATGTTCAAACTTATCTAAGACAACTGCTTTCAGACTTTCAGTGACTCTTTCGTTGATGGATTGGATATATATCTGGATTCTTTGGTTATCTTCGTAAATAGTTCGTTTTCTTTTACATGAGGCTTTTTTCTGATGTGGACTTCTACTAAGCACCAACATAACTACAACTTTCAATTCTCGGCTTATATATGATTGCACCATGACGTACGATTAACCGCTTGTGCGTAAACTGTGGTCAGTTGATTAACCATGTATCCTGTACGTTGTTTGTGGTCAGTAGGTTGACCACGTCCTATACGTAAGCTTTTCCTGTTATTGTGGTTAACATACACATGCATGTATGAGTAAGGCATTTTACAAAGATCACTAACTAGTTAACTAATAATATATTTAAGTATATAACAATAATAAGTATAATTTACTTGATTATGTATTATCATGTAACAACTGCTTCACGATTATAACGGTGAATAGCGATCTACAACGAAAATAATCTCGGAACATTAATAGATATTTTTTATAGCTTTTCTCTCCTAATCAGATTGCGTATAAGTAGCAAATATCTGTTGATATTTGAGCTCTGTTTTAAAGTTTTTCTTTGAAATTTTGTTTGCCACATTTTTATAATAATTATCTCTAATTTTCTTTACGAACTTTTTAATGAATTATGTTTTAGAGGTAGAGATATCCCTGAAGCTATTAATCATTAGTATCAATGCAAATTGCATGTATTAATCAGTAAAACTGTGCTAATTATTAATTAATGGTAATTAAATAACATATATTTAATCACAGCTACAGTAATTCTGCTCGTGCACTAAATTATATACGTATTAATAAATTCAAAATAAATCCTTTGTGGTTTTATGCGTAAATGAAAAATATGTGCCTTGAACGACACTTGAACACGTATCATCGGGATACTAGTTCGCTGCTCTACCTGTTATGCAACCAAGCCCACGGGGTGCGAGACGAGTGAAATTGTTTTAAACTGCGTATGGAAAAGACGGCGACATAGCAACAGACCTGATTAAGAAAATTGATCACCAACACCATATTTATTTGCAAAGCGACGACCAGCACCAGCTTTAGAAAAACTAGGGAACTACTTGCTGTTGCATATGATGCAAAAACAAATGTGATGTGAACAGTTTCTTTAGTCATATTTAGATCCACAAATGAAGTAAACAACATCGATGACGCCGTGAATTTGAATTTGACAATTTTCAAACAGACGCAATAGAATGCACTTCCTGTCAGCGTCGTCGTGAGGGCGCGTTACGTAACTTAAGCTCACTGGTCACAATGGCAGTTTCTGGATAGCACTCTGCTTTGACTTTATTCCTAAGCAATCATCAGAGAATTGTCATAATATAAGGATTAGTGCAGGCAAGTCATGTAAATGAGCAGTTCATGTTTAGAGACCG